TGGTGACCCATTGGACTTTCCGCAAAGCACAAGGCAAAACTGGGCTTGGGTCAGATGTCAGCCATCCCCTGAAAATCGCGGGTGAGAACTCCTGAAATGCTCGTCGTAAGAGGCGACTAAAGGGATTGGGTGGTCAGATTCGCTGCTTTGGTCGATGCAAGTCATCGTTTTCCAATTGCATAGATCAACGCGCATGTAAACTCAAATTTTATCGTAAATATCATACTGGCATTTTGTGATTTTTCAATCTCTGAAAGACATCACCACAGTTTGTCACAAGCCGTTTATTAACGGGGACTATGTTCATCCCTGTTCAGATACATGTCTGCCAAGTTAAAGTTTGTGTAATTCATATTGTGCGTGTAATAAAGACTTTCTATCTGTGAAGTCTCGTTTATCACAGCTGATAGATCCGAATACATAATGAAATTGTGTAGCAGACGAACAGAGAGCTTCGGAGGATTTCACTCAAATTTACCGGGGCTGCCAGTATGCCTGCCAGCGTTTTTACTGATTTTAATCAAACCGGTTGCAATGACTACCAAGCGGTCTGGGTGAGTGAGTGAGTGAGTGGGTGGGTGGCTGGGTGAGTGAGTGGGTGAGTGGTATTTCCTTCTGCTTCACATATTGTTCATAGCCATCAAACCCGGGCTTTCGGCGTGACGAGCAAACACTTTAACCGCTAGGCTTTCCTAACGCCCAAAAGAAAGATTTGACATTCCAAGTCTTCCCCTAATGTTGCCAATTCCCGTTTTCCCGTGTACTACATGATGTCTTACTGCGAAAAACAAATAGCCTACCACGGGTGAATTAATACTCCGAAACGAGTCGAGCAGAATCCCACGTGTCTCAGACAACACGTGAGGTGAAAACGAACATTTGCCAGACAAATTAAATCGAAAAATGAACAGCAACATAATTTATGCTGAAACTAAATGACACGTATAAAACGATTACACAACTAGCGATAGGCACGTGTCCCGGGCGTCGTTTGACGCCATCAGGTACTGCCGTATTGGTAGTCAAGTAGACTGGAAGTAATGGTCGTGATCAGTATATATATAACACCTCTGTAAGGCAACTAAGTCTCTCGTGTTCCTACAAGTTTCACTGGACACATACCTGAGGCAGTTAGCATCCCCAAGATCTAGATATACTGAAGGACAAAACTAAGGGAATGTGTGGGAAGTGGTCGTGTCTCTGACATTACCATGTTAAGCATTGTTCGTCATTAAGTTAACGCTCTAATGCATTTTATTCACTGTTTATAATTCCAAACAGAATTATTCTATTAATTATAGATGCCACTTTAATTGCTAATATTTTCTTCCATTTCATCTATACTATGCCAGTTAAGAACTACTCGCTATTACCTCCCACGCTGGTACAAGGCTATACCATTAAACCAACACTGTCATTCCTGCTACCTGCTTACACGATACCTATGTCTCTGCTTGGGGCGTCAGACATGCTACTTGTGTCTCTGCGAGAGGCGTCAGACATGCTACCTGTGTCTCAGCTAGGGGCGTCAGACATATTACCTGTGTCTCTGATTGGGGCGTCAGACATGCTACCTGTGTCTCTGCTAGCGGCGTCAGACATACTATATGTGTCCCTGCCAGGGGCGTCAGGCATACTACATGTGTCTCTGTTAGGGGCGTCAGACATGCTACCTGTGTCTCTGCTAGGGGCGTGAGACATGCTACCTGTGTCTCTGATAGAGGCGTCAGACATACTACATGTGTCTCTGCTAGGGGCGTCAGACATGCTGCATGTGTCTCTGCTAGGGGCGTCAGACATGCTACTTGTGTCCCTGCTAGGGGCGTCTGACATGCTACCTGTGTCTCTGCTAGGGGCGTCAGACATACTACAGGTGTCTCTGTTAAGTAGAGGCGTCAGGCATACTACAGGTGTCTCAGCTAGGGGCGTCAGACATGCTTCATGTGTCTCTGCTAGGGGCGTCAGACATACTACAGGTGTCTCTGCTAGGGGCGTCAGACATGTTACCTGTGTCTCTGCTAGGCCGGGCGTCTGACATGCTACCTGTGTCTCTGCTAGGGGCGTCAGACATACCACAGGTGTCCCAGCTACGGGGCGTCAGGCATACTACAGGTGTCTCTGCTAGGGGCGTCAGACATGTTACCTGTGTCTCTGCTAGGCCGGGCGTCTGACATGCTACCTGTGTCTCTGCAAGGGGCGTGAGACATATTACCTGTGTCTCTGCTAGGGGCGTGAGACATACTACCTGTGTCTCTGCTAGGGACGTGAGACATACTACCTGTGTCTCTGCTAGGGGCGTCTGACATGCTACCTGTGTCTCTGCTAGGGACGTGAGACATACTACAGGTGTCCCAGCTACGGGGCGTCTGACATGCTACCTGTGTCTCTGCTAGGGACGTGAGACATGCTACCTGTGTCCCTGCTAGGGGCGTCAGACATGCTACCTGTGTCTCTGCTAGGGGCGTCAGACATGCTACCTGTGTCCCAGCTACGGGGCGTCTGACATGCTACCTGTGTCTCTGCTAGGGACGTGAAACATGCTACCTGTGTCTCCTGCTAGGGGCGTCAGACATGCTACCTGTGTCTCTGCTAGGGGCGTCAGACATACTACCTGTGACTCTGCTAGGGGCGTCAGACATGCTACCTGTGACTCTGCTAGGGGCGTCAGACATGCTACCTGTACCTGTGTCTCTGCTAGGGGCGTGAGACATGCTACCTGTGTCTCTGCTAGGGGCGTGAGACATGCTACCTGTGTCTCTGCTAGGGGCGTGAGACATGTTACTCTGTGTCACTTACGTGGGAATTCAGTGCTAATCACGTGTCAGTCTCTCTTGACACTTAAAGTGGCAATTAAGGATTGATCCCCTCTTGTTCTTTACCAACTCTAAAGTGAGAATTATTGATCACAGATCGGTCTGTACCGACACTAAAGTAGGAATATAATCAGTATTCATCCCGTGTTGGTCTGTACCGACACTAAAGTGGGAATATAATTAGTATTCACCCCGTGTTGGTCTGTACCGACACTAAAGTGAGAATTTTGTATCATGGATCGGTCTGTACCGACACTAAAGTAGGAATATAATCAGTATTCATCCCGTGTTGGTCTGTACCGACACTAAAGTGGGAATATAATCAGTATTCATCCCGTGTTGGTCTGTACCGACACTAAAGTAGGAATATAATCAGTATTCATCCCGTGTTGGTCTGTACCGACACTAAAGTAGCAATATAATCAGTATTCATCCCGTGTTGGTCAGTACCGACACTGAAGTGGCAATATAATCAGTATTCACCCCGTGTTGGTCTGTACCGACACTGAAGTGGGAATATAATCAGTATTCACCCCGTGTTGGTCTGTACCGACACTAAAGTAGGAATATAATCAGTATTCACCCCGTGTCGGTCTGTACCGACACTGAAGTAGGAATATAATCAGTATTCATCCCGTGTCGGTCTGTACCGACACTAAAGTAGGAATATAATCAGTATTCACCCCGTGTCGGTCTGTACCGACACTAAAGTAGGAATATAATCAGTATTCACCCCGTGTCGGTCTGTACCGACACTGAAGTGGGAATATAATCAGTATTCACCCCGTGTCGGTCTGTACCGACACTAAAGTAGGAATATAATCAGTATTCAGCCCGTGTTGGTCTGTACCGACACTAAAGTAGGAATATAATCAGTATTCAGCCCGTGTTGGTCTGTACCGACACTAAAGTAGGAATATAATCAGTATTCATACCGTGTTGGTCTGTACCGACACTGAAGTGGGAATTCAGTATCCATCCCGTGTTGGTCTGTACCAACACTGAAGGGGGATTTCAGAACTCATCCCGTGTTGGTCTGTACCGACACTAAAGTGGGAATTCAGTATCCATCCCGTGTTGGTCTGTACCTACACTGAATGGGAATTCAGAACTCATACCGTGTTGGTCTGTACCGACACTGAAGGGGGAATTCAGTATTCATCCCGTGTTGGTCTGTACCGACACTAAAGTGGGAATTCAGTATCCATCCCGTGTTGGTCTGTACCTACACTGAATGGGAATTCAGAACTCATACCGTGTTGGTCTGTACCGACACTGAAGTGGGAATTCAGTATTCATCCCGTGTTGGTCTGTACCGACACTAAAGTGGGAATTCAGTATCCATCCCGTGTTGGTCTGTACCAACACTGAAGTGGGAATTCAGTACTCATACCGTGTTGGTCTGTACCTACCCATTAGAGGGAATTATTGATCACAGACCGGTGTGTACCGACACTAAATTGGCAACTAATGATCACACTGTTGGCTACAGCCGTGTAACGTGACCCAGACCGCGGATACTACTGGCTATATATATATAATAATGCCCATTCAGTCACGTCATTATAGACACTTAACCGGCTTCGTTGACATTATGAAGCAATATTTTACAACTATATCTGTTTTGATTGTAGAACATGACATGCTTTCCTTTTGTAAAGTAGCACTGTTATATAATAGTCCAGACATTTTACGTATGGCCGTCTGTTGATGATATCGACAGTTAACAGGTGTTCCTAACAAACTCGCCAATAAGATAAGATGAGATGACTCCCTGCACTTGGAATGAACATTTAATATAAACATTAGGTTAGTTTTAAAGTAAATGACCAAACTGACAGATTAAGGACTTCAAATGCGATAGGAAAGCGCCCTCCTTCAACATACTTTTCGAAAAGAAGATTTGCGCAGTTCCGACATTTACAGTACACTCCGTGTACACGCATAATGGTTAAGTTATGTGCCCGATATTACAGGCGGAATGTGACTCGCCTTACACGTATAGATCTCCGCTCCGTGATAAATACACGAAACCCAGCAATAAACAAGCGTGCAATATGCGCCCATATCGCATGAGACGAGTACTGTTATCGCTGGTGACCGTTATGTCAGATGGGTCACATAACAGCCTTCACCCCCTCCGATAATGCGCTCGCCCGATTAAGTCATGCGTGGTACAGTGGCGTCACTGGTCCGCCTAGAATAGACTGGTCCGCTAGTCTAACAGAAGACTGCAATGAGCGCCGTGTCGTCTGGCGCAGTTGTAGGTGCAGACGTCTGCACGCAGAGTATCGTCTGTTGTCAAACCTGGACGAATGTCGTGATGTAAGGAACTATGGAGGCCAATTCTTATCGGAGATGATGCGTTCAGCTGTGTTAGTCCAGCCCGCCATATTGCTAACGTCTCGATACAACACAAGTTAAATCTGATGGTGTAATGCAGGAACGACCGTCGAAATGATGTCTGTTGTCGGAGTTACCTGGCTGTCAGTCTGGCTGTCTGTGCTGTCGGGTAGGTGTCCCAATTTCCGTTCGTGTTCTTGTGTGTCACAGTCGACATAGGAGCCACGAGGTCAGGGTAACCCGCCCGTATGTCTGCTCAACAATACACAAGACGATCCCAACTAAATATAACCCCTGATTTTAGCGAAGCTCGTTACTTGCAGATTCACCAGTATCACGATATGATTGCATACTGTTTGTTCAGGCCATGCACACAACTGATACGTTGTTTGACCCAAGTAGGAATGTATAATTGTAGTTTTACCCCAGGCTTATGGCCAACATAATGAGGTGCACGGTGAGACTAAATTAAAAACACTCCACATACTGACACTGCCTCCACAAACAGTGCTAATCGCAATAATTGATTATGTAATAATTTATACCAGTGACGCCATGCGCTGTTGGTATATTTCTTGTTTCAATCAACCGACCTATATATACGTATATCAGTCTCCAACTCCTCTGTGTCTTGGGTCATTCTGCGCTCTCAAATGAACTCACTTTTAGCACACATGTATTGCACAATTTACTCGGGTTATGAGATTTGCCTTCTGAACATTTAAACACTGAACATTTTTTGTGAGCTTTTAAATGCTACCACACACTTGACAGTTAAATTCTCAGTCTTGGGTTATGCAAAGTCACCTTGTGTAAACATAATGAACAGTGTATAGAAAACTGCATTTAAAGGTACTAAATTTTTTGTTCTTTTGGGGTTTGTCATAACCAAATTTTAGCTGTATTTGTACTTTGCTATATTGTGTTGCTGAATGTGACATTTTGTTACATGTAGCTGATACTCATTTGTACTATGTATATCATCTTGGGTTGCCCAGGACCGATCGTCATGTATAAAACATGTAATGTGCTGCAAATGCAGTACAGTGTGACACAGTGTTCAAAGTGTTCTTTTGTCCTGCAAAGACCTGAAGAGTTGTTGCTATTTTTCACATTGTGACACCACAGTTGGTGCACCCTAGAGTGTTAAATGCAGCTTGTTTACAAGCCTACCATTGTTCGATAATTGGATAACAAGAGTAATTGATTCTGGTTTTCATACTAGGTTATTCAGTATCAGGTCACCAGTTATGAAATATACAATTTTATAGTGATTTGTCAATGTTTTTATCTTTATTATTTTCCATTATTATTATCAGGGCTCCAGATAAGGGCCGTATCGGCGTATGTACGGATAAAATATATGCACGATACGGTAGCAAATAATTTAGAAAACGTAGCAGGTACGCACCACAGCAATAGTGTACGGTCTTAGAATCATTTACAGACGTATTTATCTGAAAAGAATATTGGTTTATTGTTTATTGACCTGTTTACACAAGAGTAGCAATGTTGTGGTGCATATATGAAACGAAACACAAGATTGCTTATACTGCATTAAATTCCACTCAGTACTCTAAATGTACTCTTAAGGTTTGCCAGTACTCCTGTAGTGAAGAAATACTGAGTACGTACTCCTGATGTTGAACAATTACCTGGAGCCCTGTATTATTGTTATCATGCATTATTACTATCACCAGTGGATAGCTCATTGCGTGAACCTGTAATAAAAGCTTGTTTGTTTTTTATTTACTTTGAATATATGTTGTATCATGCTTTGGCTTGTCTATATTCAGTCTTGTTTGACATTCCAAGGATATACACATCACTGTCACTTTAATAATTTTATAGAGAAGTTATCGATAATTTAGTCTATTTTGTCAACTTGAACAATTCAGTATTCATTTTTCTTATCTTCACTCGAATATTGTGATACAGATTTTCTTAACAGAAATGAATAAGTAACCTTGGTCACTCAAGTCAGTGCACCTTCTCAGTTTGTTTACCCTCCTTAAATTAACTTCAGAATTTTACTCTGACTCTTTATTAACTTTATTTTAGTTTTAGAAATGGCTATGTGTTTCAAATTTGTTGTTAAACCAAGCAAAAACAAACCATTAATAGGTTGTAGATGAAATGAATTATTGTCATATCTGTGCTGCAAGTTCTAATTTGTTGTTAAAAAGTCAATAACCAAATATTAATGATAGTAGACGAAATACATTATTGTCGTATCTGTTATGTATGTTCTAATTTGTTTTTAAAAAGGCAATAACCAAGCATTAATGGTAGTAGAAGAAATACATTATATCACATCTATATGTACCGGGGTAGGTGTCTACAGAAGGAAGGTGAAAAGAATGAGATTATTTATTTTTTAGGGCTTCATTTTATGAGGAAGGAATTGAGAGGTCAGCAAGCCAAAATAATTTCACTACTCATTGCTAGAATACCAGCTTATGCTGGAATAAGACTGAAAAATATTATTTAACTGGAATCTGCTTTTCATGTGTATGTTTATAAATCCTGCACAAAATCTATGATCAGATATTTTTGTCAAGTTTCTATCTATTCAAGTGTAGATGTCAAAAGGTTCTTGTTCATAATTTAAAAACTAAAGAAATTAACATCACACTTAATAACATGCTTAATCTGATTTAAGATAAATAGTTATGAGAAACAGGGCAATGTTTTGTGATGCAGAAATATCACAAATGGCTGTTTTCCCAATAGAGAAGCTAGTCTATGTTTCTGTACACAATGTATGGTAAGAGATCTCTCGCCTTTATACTAATATCTATAAGTCACAGTGTAAATGATGTTTTCTTTCAACATATTATGAGACCCGTGAAGATCCGGGTTAGAATGAACCTCCAGTAACCCATGCTTGTCGTAAGAGGCGACAACGGGATCGGGTGGTCAGGCTCGCTGGCTTGGTTGACACATTGTCATCGGTTCCCAATTGCGCAGGTCGATGCTCATGCTGTTGATCACTGGATTGTCTGGTCCAGACTTGATTATTTACAGACTGCCACCATATAGCTGGAATATTGCTGAGTGTGTGTGCTGTTACGATTCCCTTGCATATTTGTTGAGTTGAAGCATATCTCATCATGAATTCAATTCATTATTCATGGTCACTAGAATCAAATAATTTAAATAGAGTGTTTTTACTTGGAACTAGTTTGTTGTTCATCGATGTGAGATATGCAAAATGGAATATACTGACTGAGTGAATTAGGCAATTTACAAATTGACTGATTTTACACATTGACTGTAAAATATCCAAGCCAAACAGTAGCATAACTTGTGTTTATTTTACTAAGGTCCCTTTCAACACTGTCATTAGGCTATAAGCAGCATTATTCACAATGTATTTCTTCTTTTTAGCTTATAGAAAATGTCATTTTAGTGTTTCAACTTAAGCAGTTTCATGTTTGTTATTTTAGTTTCTTGATATTAAACATAAAGTATTCAGGAACACTATATTCGTTAACGTATTGTATTCGCCATATTCTTGTATTCATGCAGCCCTTGTGTTTGTTCATTGCAACAAGCTAGTGTGGTAGGCAGAGCTTAGGCTCATTGCAAAGAGGACTTGTGGTTGATTGTTCAACATAATATTTGTGATCTCTCTTCTTGGTGTTCCTCTCCTGATAGTGTGTCAACATTGCTCACACGCTAATGTAAAGATATTCAGGTGAGCTACAGAGCCTTTTGCTTATGTTTTTTAAAGTCAGCATTTGTTTTTGTAACAGTTTGAATTTTTTGAGGATTTGTCCTGTTTTTTCATCAGAATTTGTTTATATTTCATGTCTGAGTTTGACTGCAGCTGTGTTTGTGGGCTGTCAAGCCCCCACTACCTGAGGACATTCAATCCATAATCAGATCTTGTTGTGTCTGGCTCAACCTGTCATGCGTCATTGCAGGAGTAAACTCATGTGCTGCATACACTTGCTGTCCGATCATTCATTTATCACAGGGGAGCTCCTGCGGAGGTCTTTTATTCATCGATTGTTGACAGAATATCTGGAATGTTCTGATTTCGGAATAAATGATTCAGCTTAAATCTAAGTTAAAGCATGATGTTGGCAGTTATACAAAATGGGTCAAAGTTTTCCATCCTGGTTATAAACAGACTGTATTTGTTTAGAATCTTTGTTGTTTCATGCAGCAATCAACTATATTGCATCTACATAAATGAAGGTTTGTAAATACTGATGTCTGGACCAAACAATCCAGTAACTGACATGACGAGCATTCATCTATACAGTTGTAAATGTAAAAGTATATTTTACAAATTCAAAATTATCAAATCATGTATCAAACAATAAAAATTTTTTATCAAATCTATTATCAAATCTTGTTCCACTTAGTGTTCTCTGAAATACAAATTACAGTTAAGTACGTTTCTAACAAGTGCTCTTATAATGGACCCCGGGCTCATTTTCCTCTTTTTTCACTCATACCCATTCTCATCCCTGTGTAAAATATGTTCATTTCAGAGACTAAATGTTAGTCTAACTACACCAGTAAATCGTGAAAAGTTTCTGATTCTGTTTGACAATGTACATTGCAGATATATCGGTGTGTTACCGTATATTGGCGTGTGATATGTGTACAGAAATCTTGGTTTGTCCTTTTAAGTTTCATTGCTCGTCAACTTTTTTCAGCATTTCACTCGGGCAAAATGCTGAGACCTGGGATGTATCATCTACTGCTGAGTCAGTTGATGTTGATATCAGCTTGTTTCTTTGATTTGCTTGATCCAAGGATATTAGGGCAGTAGAGTGTTCTGGTTTGTCTGGTCCAGACTTGATATTTTCAGGCCAGCACAATATGGATGGCCTCCAGTTGGAGTTACCTGTGAAGGTCCGGGTTAGAATATTGATCTTCAATAAATCATGCTTGTGTAAGGGGCAACTGTCGGGATCGGGTGGTCAGGCTCGCTGACTTGGTTGGCACATGTCATCGGTTCCCAATTGCGCAGATTGATGCTCATGTTGTTGGTCACTGGATTGTCTGGTCCAGACTCGATTACATGTATTTACAGACCGCCGCCATATAGCTGTAATATTGCTGAGTGTGGCGTAAAACTCACTTACTCACTCACTAAACTCACTCACTCACTCACTCACTCACTCACTCACTCACTCACTCCAGTTGAAG